CATGTCTCATTACGCCCCCTGCCCGTAGCATATCTTCCTCCTCCACGAGAACTCTGATCTCTCCCACCCCCAGCCATCCCTTTGACAACAACAGCAAATGGAATTTTCACAGTTCTCCTGGCCCAACAATCTCTGGAGAAACTAAATTGCTTTGGGATAGGTAGATGATCTGAAAACCCTCTCTAGTAGTAAATTCACCACTAACAAACAGATCCTTCCTAACCCACACCAGCGAATCGAGGATATCTTTGCAACAACAACGAACCCTAGCTCGGGATTGATTTGCGAGCCTGTCCACTATGCTATTATATTCGGCAGAAGGCGTCTTCTACATAGGCGCCACTACCCGATGCTCGGGGGAGATACTGGCCAACCAGGACAAGCCAGGTGTCACCTGGTCAGCCCGCCCTGCTGTATAGCCCCCGACAAGTAGGGCCCTCCTGGCAGAGACACGTCGCCCTTCGTTGACCTTCCTCTCAGGAGACGTCGTCACCAACACCAGCGGCCACGCTGCTCATCAACCTTCACTACCGCGCACTGCTCGAACCGGAGAATCTGGAGGCGTGGATTGAGCATCAGATCGGACCAATCCTGCACCACAAATCGACAAACTCAATCCAAACTCCCTGAACAATCTCCATCTCCTCCTCTGTTCTCTAGATTGCGATCCCGCCTCCCTTGCAGCCCAGTATAGGATTCTCTCCACTGTCAGCTCTCCTCCCGCAAAAGTTCTCTGCCGGTCCTGCTCGGATCTCCGCGACATGGCCCTGAGCGCCAGAGTACGGCGAGCATTTGTAACTGCTCTCGCCGCACGCTGCGCCTCCCTCTCGAACATGTCTAACTCCGCCGGCAAACCAATAATCTCCCAATCCGGAGCAGCTCCCCAGCTCGACCCCAACCGCGGATCTCAGCTCGACCTCGCACTGGGGGGAGGCCAGAGATATAGATCTCAGCACCTCCACAGGACGTCGCACAGCGCTCGCCTGCGCCGAGATGGAGAGCCACGCCTGGCGGGTTGTCTCGCTGGATTTAGGTGGGCTAATCAGATCTAGGTTGTGGTGGAGGGGAGGGGTGGCCGACAGGGAGGCAGGCGGTGGCGGGTTTGCGGACGCGAGAGCAGCGGACACGGGCAGATATTTGAGGGGCGGACGGGCGCTGTTAATGAACATACAGAGGGTCACACTTTGCAGCGTGTGTAGAGATAGTATGATCTACTACTTTATTGCATGCCCTTTTTCTGTCAAATATTACATGGCCTTGGCTGTGACAAATATTAAAACGAGCAAGGTTCAATCAAGCAAAATCCTTGATTTCCCTAAAGACGACTCCATTGATTGACCGGCCATGCTCATATCATTCCCTTCGATGGCCTGCAGCACCAGCAGCGAACCCGTCTGCGCCGTCACCAGCAGCAGTGAAATGCTTTGAATCGCTATCGTTTTTGCTCCGGTGTGTAGGGTCGACTGATTCCTCCATCTTGCAACAAGGAGAAAAAGTTCGACTGTTGAGCCCACCACAGCACAGAGAATAAAGAAAAAGGGAGAAACACTGCATGTTTTCTTCTTCCTTGCGTTCCTTCTCTCCTTCCCGACTCCTCTTGCTGTCCACCCAAATCTATAGAAAGCCATGGTGGATCTCGCCTCTGGTCACCAAAAATGGAATCCTTACGCTAGCCAGCGGTCACATGTTCTACTTGCCCCCATTTAATTAAGCCATAATACTATCTAATTTAATTTCTGAACCCTAACCTGCAATCTTGTTGTGCAACAATGGAGGAGAGAGAAGAATAAACTTGAAGTGAGACGCTAAGCTCGGACTACAGGAGAGAAGGAGCATGCCCTCCATTCATTACAGTTGGCTTTGGTTCGACACAAGGAATCATTTGCTTTAGTTCGCTTTCTCCAGTGTATATCGAATCGAATCGGTCCGAGAGGGACTTTGAACCGCTTTACAGCGTCGAGTGCACTTATCCATTGTTGCTTTCAGAACTTTGTTCATTGTCGGTAGCCTCAAACTGGCTGGTCTTCTTTTCGAGACAAACTGAGGAAGCTATTGTTGCTTACATAATTAGTGCCTGATGTGTAGCTCCAGCCGGTTCCTTTGCTCCTAGCTTTGCTCTGTGAGCCACGAGGTGGACAAACGGTCCTCTACCCTGCGCTGCATCATCCCCATCCAATTGTTGGCTCCAGTAGAAGCTTCTTGATTTTGGATGGAGAAGAAAGAAGCAGCCATGGCCCAAGCCATTGTCCAAAGCTTATGCACGAAGCTCAGATCCACCATCGCCGTTGGAGACAAGGCCACCGGCGATTTGCAGGAAATAATGGAGATGCTGGAGGCCATACATCCGCTGCTGGAGGACGCAGAGAGGCGGTGTCTTTGTTTTAAGGATGATGTCCCCAAAGAGGGATCGAAGGAAATAATGGGGACACCGGAAGCCATACAGCCGCTGCTAGAAGATGCCCCCCAGCAAATGGAGGTATGTTACTTCACCATCCTTAAACATTTTGAAGAAAAGCTCAGATCCTGTCATAGGCTACGAGATCCATAGGTCACAAAATACACAAACTTGACCTGCAGGGGAAGAAGGTGCGGGACTGGCTGAGGCGGGTCGTTAAGGCCGCCTATGATATCTTGGACGTGTTGCAAGACACCATGACACCGTCTGCGCGTAAGGTATGTATAAGAGTATTCATGTTTCGTCGACCGTGTGAGTATTCTTAGCTCCTTGCATACCTCAAGGTGTATGTACCTTCTAACTGGTTAAGAACTGATTCATTGCAGTTGACGAAGATGATACCGCGTGCCAATGCCCCTGAGAAGAAGAATCTCATGGCTGGTAAGATGGAGAAGATAAAAGAAGAAGTCTGCAAGCTACGAGTCGACATGGATGAATTCAATCTTATGTCATCTGATTCCGATGCAACCATCGAGCCACAAGTTATTGATGTAAAAGAGTTTGAAGAACCAACGATTGTAGGAAGGGATAAAGAAATGCAGATGATAATGGAAAGTATATTTATGAAAAAAGGGCACCACATCATAGTTCAAATTGGTTGGCGTGAGGATGGCAGCGGCAAGACAACATTAGCGCAAATGGTTTTCAGCCATAGCCGATTCAAAGACTACTCCCGAGTGTGGTTCCAATGCTCAGGGAATTTTCCCTTGCAGGAGATGGGGAAGGCCATAATTTCTCAGGTATCAGGGGAAGAGATCAGCGGTGATTCAAATGACAACATCGAGTATGTAAGGAAGCGCCTTCATCAGCTATTTGATAATGGTATTAAGGTACTTGTTGTTTTAGATAACACACAGCTATCATCGGATGATAGCGAAAAGTTGGGAGGTATGCTAAGGGAATGGGACAATCATAGTGAGGTAATCTTGATAGCAACAGGCGAAAATATCTATATTCGGATATATGAAACAAACATAGATAATGTATGTGCCTTTTAGTGCATTGAGTGATGACATGTGCTGGACAATAATCAAACAACGAAGTCGCTTTGAAGGTAGATCGTTTGACAAGCAAGGGTTGGAGCAAATTGGTGCCGAGATTGCAAAAAAGTGCAAGGGTTCACCGTTAGCAGCTGCGGTGCTTGGGGGCATGCTACTATATACAAAGATGCTACAGGATGGGCAGAAGTATTGAACAGTGATGTATGGGCATATGACTGCATCAGCAAGCCATTCCTCGTGTTAGCATACACTAGTATGCCTTCGAGCTTACGGCTATGCTTTACCTACTTTATGATGTTCCAATATGGTCACGCCATAGCTAAAGATGATCTGATCTATCAATGGAATTCTCTCGGTCTTATTGAGCAATCCGACAGATTCTCTGTGAAACAACTTGGTGAACAGTATATTATGATGCTTCTGGGTATGTCACTTCTTCAAACAACAATGCCAGTTTCGGTGAGTTACTCCACGCTATGTTCAAAAGACTTTGGGCTTAATTGGTTTGCTTCCAATGTTTGCTATGCCAAAGTATGGATAGGCCAACACAAATTTTACGCTCAATTCTTTTATTATTAAATTTTTAGCATGCTCATAATTTGGCTTGGCAGAATGGTTCGTTAGGTCTTATTTTACCTTTTTCCAAAATGTTGGCATGAAAAAAAATTTACCTCTGAATTTTGTAAGGCAGCTGATAAAACATAAATTCTCTAACACGCTTTATGCTTTTGTTGCAGACTAGTGGAAATAGTGATAAGAGTACAATCTTGTTCACTATTAACCGTATGGTGCATGGCCTTGCAAAAAATGTTATGCGTACCATACGTTATACAGCGGAGACATCTTATCAGCAGGAATTATGCTCTAATAAGGACTGCTGCTATGTACTGGTTACTGATTTGAAGTTATCCAATAAATTGTCTGCCCACACAAGGGCGCTACGTTATGTGGGCTCTGGCAAAATGGAACTCACGATGATTTGTTTGCATATTCCAGGTGCCTGCGTGTCTTGGATTTGAATGACAGATCGATGCTGAACTTACCAAATTCTATCTGTCAGTTGAGGCATTTGGGATATCTTAATTTATCAGGCTGCTCTGGACTAGTTATTATACCGGACTCACTTGGAGATCTACTAAATTTGTTGTATATTAATTTGTCAGGCTGCTCTGTACTAATACATCTACCTGAATCATTTGGGAAGCTAATAAGTTTGGCGTATATCGACTTATCGGGTTGCTCTGGACTAGTAAATCTATCGGAATCATTTGGGAAGCTGACAAATTTGTTGCATATTGACTTATCAAGATGCTATGGACTTGTAAATTTGCCAGATTCATTTGGGAAGCTGACTAGTTTGAAGCATACCGATTTATCAGGCTGCTCTGGATTAGAAAAACTGCCACAATCATTATGTAAGCTAATAAATTTGGTGCACATCAACTTATCATGGTGCTCTGGATTAGTTAGTCTGCCTCTCTCGTTTGGGAAGCTAATATGTTTGCTGCACATGAACCTATCAGGCTGCTCTGGATTGGTAAACTTACCGGAATCAATTGGCAATCTCAAAATTTTGGTCCACATCAACTTGTCAGGTTGCTGCGGGCTATTAAATCTACCTGAGTCATTTGGGAATTTAATAAATTTGTTGCACATTGACTTATCATGTTGCCATGGACTAGGTAACCTGCCAGAATCATTTGGGAAGCTAGAGAATTTGGCACACCTAGATTTATCATTCTGGTCTTGTTTTGAAGGGGTCGAGAAAGCTCTTGGCGGGCTTACCAATCTCCAGCACTTGAACTTGTCAAACCGTTGCTGTTATCTTGCTCAACAGCAGTCGTGTCTCGAAGGGCTAAAAGATGTTTTGGGCCAGCTCACCAAAATAAAGTATTTGAACCTATCCATGTTCCTGAATCCTATCTTTTACTCACAGTCAGTAGAGCGAACTCATGAATTTATGGAATGCATCAGTGGCTTTTCCAGTTTGGAGCATTTGGATTTATCTCATAATAGATTTCTCCGTGATCTTCCTGAAAGTTTAGGTGAACTCAACAATCTGCAAACACTGGACCTCTCAGGTTGCATTAGACTGAAGAGCATACCCAAAAGGATAGGTGAAATCAGGTCTCTTAAGTCAATAAATGTGAGGAACTGCCGCAGTTTGAAAAGTTGTCAGCTTGTGGTTAAAGCTGATAATGGAGAATATAATATCAGAAACATTGCTCAGCTCGAGGATGCAAACTTGGAAGAGCTTGAGATAAGCTGTCTTGAAAACGTGAAGACTAGAAAAGATGCGGGGCAAATAAGAATGGCACTGGAAGGAAGGACTCAAAAGTTGAAACTTTGCTGGACTGTGGGCTCCCAAGTATCCATGGAGGACAATACCCTGTTAGGAAAATTATTGCCAGCACATCTGCAGTGCCTTGAGCTACATGGTTATAGTGACGAGACCCGCCTTTCAGCCTGGTTGACAGCAACCATATCTTATCATTTTGATACTCTTGTAGAGGTTACCATTGAGGACTTCCCGAGGTGCAGCCAGCCACCACCACTATTATTGTTATATAACCTCCGACGAGCAGTTTTCAGAAGGATGGCTAGCATCACAAGATTTGACATCAATGACCTCACCGGTGAATACCGAACAACACTCAATCAACTCCCCAAGTTGACCCTAGAGTTGGATGATATGGAAAGCCTGGAAGAGTTCAAGACAACATACGACAGAAATGGTAAGGAGTGTATGCTCCCGGCCATTGGTGAACTGGTGATTACGAAATGTAACAAGGTGTGCTTCATACCTTTCACGCCTAGAGCTTGGAAATTGGTGATCTCAGAGTGCAGCAAACTAATGGTCCATTCCAGAGGAGGGCACCCTTGTACCTCTGTTTCAGTAAATGAACTGGTGGTGAAGAACTGCAAGAAAACTCTATATAACTGGCATTTGCTTCACAGCCTCCCAGGCCTCCGTAGTTTAACTGTCAAAGATTGCGACAATCTGTGGACTATACCAGATACTATTGAGGCCCTATCCTCCCTCCAATCTCTATGCTTGTCCAATTGCCGGGTGGACAAAGTACAACACTTGGCTGACCTCACCTGTCTCCGGGAACTGAAGATTGTGTCCTGCGAAGGGATCGATGGGTTCATGCAGAGTTTGCAAGGACTCACCTCCCATGGGTCGATGCATCTTAGTGACTGCGACAGTATCACATCACTGCCGGAATGGTTAGGAGATCTCACCAATCTTGAGAAGCTTGCCATCCACAGATGCCCTGCCATGGAATCTTTGCCGGGCAGCATAAATAAACTAACCAACCTGAAGGATCTGCGTATTTTGGATTGTCCAAAATTGAAGAGCTGGTGTGAAAGGAGGGAGAACAAGAAAAGAATGGCTCACATCCGACCAGACTATGAGTATGTACCACATTGCTCTTACTTTCACTTCTTTCAGTCCTTACTGTTCCTAACTATTCCAGTCGTATCCTAGGTTACGCATTCTTTGTGTTGATTCATGCTTTTTATCTTTTGCGTGGTCTTGCAGAATTCCTTCACGGTAATAGAAGGCCCATTTCTAATCTGAACTTCAAGAGTAGCTAACCAAGGTGTGTGTGCATTGTTTATTCTGCAGAGAACAAGGTACTAGCAGGCCAGGCAGCAACGACGAGGGCAATGTGGAGGGTGAATTGGAGAAGGACTGGCCGGACGTCGTGGAGGAGGAGGACTGGCCGGACGTCGTGGAGGACTGGTCGGACGTTGTGGAGGAGGAGGAGCCAGAGGCAGTATCGACGGATGCAGTGGAGAATTCAGTGATGACAGACAACACAGGTGTTGTAGAGGAGGTGACGAGGGATGTGGACGCAGCAGTGGCAGCTGATGTATGCTTGGAGTTGCGATTGGGACTGCCCATAAATGAAGAAGCGGTCCGTATCGAAGAAGAAGAAGATGAAATTTCTCTACGACTGTATTTATAACATGGGAAAAGCTTATCGCCATCCGGCGGATCATAGTGGCCGCGTCCGCCACCTCCGCTGCATGACACGCGTCCAATTGATGGCTTGCATTGCCGTTCTTTGTCGAACGCGCTTCCGAAATAGAGGCTATGTTTCAGAAAAATATGCGGTGTTGCAATGGTCTATGACGGGTCTAATTTTTGCAACAAAATCTCTATTGCGGAAATTTTCTGCAACAAAACCTCAGTTGCAAAAAAATGCAACAAAACCCTAGTTATATTCTTTTTCGCGACAAAACAACCATTGCAAAAAAATCTGCAACAAGACCTATGTTGCAAAAATAATTCTGCAACAAGACCTGTGTTGCAGTTCTGAGGCACGCTCAGCTCGCCTGATGCGGCAATCTGACGGCTCGCGAGCCGGCTGGTCTTTCAAAAATATCAGCCGGCGGACGCGTAGCAGGCCCCTTATAACATTGTGTTCTTCTTTCTTTGTACTGTACTACTTTTTGGTCACACATATGCACATTTTTCTTAGATGGACACGCACAGTTACATTGGTTTGGTTATGCTTTGATCGTGTTTACTGGCCCGCAGAACTTCTCTTGTATTCACATCTATTATCTATTACTACAGTACTAAATAATTACGGCTGATGATCATAGTAATCTATAATGAAGTACTGTAGTTCTATGTGTAGTGTGTAGTTACGTCATGGATGGCCGGTAACGGCTATGGACGCCCAGTGGCCGCCATAGGCTATGGCTACTCTCCCAAGCTGTTTGGTTCAGACAAGCGAAGCAGAACGACGGAGAGCCGATGAGAAGAACGTCATGTCGATTCGAAGGAGCAGTACCTCATGCCGAGAGTGGGATCGGCGGCCGCCGCTGCTGCGCTGCTCGTGAAAGTAGCGTTGAAGGAGGGAGAGGTCGACGCTCTCTGTCGCCGCCGGCGCCGCCGCACGGCTCGATGTAGAAGATTTGGGGGCGGAGGGATCGGCAGCAGAGGAGCAGAGGCGTCGATCTGAACGGAGCCTTCCGGACCGGAAGACGAAGCCGGTACCGCAATCTTTTTCCCTTTTTTTTTATTGAGGGGTTGTTTTTCTTTTCTTGGAGGGGGGAATAGCCTGAAGTGTTGGAAAGGTGACATGCACCCGCACCCATGTGTGCAACGATACAGCCCGAGTCCTACGGCGCCCACGCTCCCGCGCACGTCGTCTCCGCCCACGTAGCCGCGCACGTCGTCTCCGCCCACGTAGCCGCGCACGGCGTGATCTTCGATTCTGTTGTAACAGTAGGCCACTACTCCTCATAAGCATCAGTATATATAAACACTTGTAACCTGCGATGATTTTTTTTCTGCGATGATGAATGTACATAATTCATCTATCTTACTTGATATTAGAGCCCGCCACTGTCACCACACCTGGCCCCTCCCCCGTCGTTGTCTCACCTCGATCCTCCTCGGATCACGCGCCCGAGTCGTCACCTGGCGCGACCCCACCACTTCCCTCCCCATCCCGCGCTTCCGCCACTCCCATAGCGCCAGTTCAGCCACGCCTACCCCCGCGCGCCATCCGGATACAGCCACTCACGAACCTGCATCCCATGCATACGCGCTTTAAGTCCGGGTTTTCCCTTCCAAAAACACAAGTCAGCCTCTCTGTCACCACGCCGATCAGCGCCATTCCTTCATCCTACCGCGCTGTATTTAAGGATTTGAACTGGGCGGCTGCTATGCATGATGAATATAATGCGTTGTTGCGGAATGACACTTGGTCATTGGTCTCTCATCCTGCAGGTGCTAATATGGTGAGCGGGAAATGGATATCCCGATACAAGTACAACACGGACGGCTCCTTAGCTCGGTACAAGGCGCGATGGATGCTCCGCGGCTTCACCCAACAAGCCGAGGTTGACTACAGTGAGACGTTCAGTCCCGTCGTCAAGCCCGCCACTGTCCGCGTCGTCGTCAACCTCGCCACCAGCAGCTCGTGGCCCATACATCAACTCGACGTTAAGAATGCCTTCCTCCGTAGGCATCTCGCCGAGACGGTGTACAACATGCAGCCCGCTGGCTTCGTTGACGCGGCGTGCCCTCGGGACGTGTGTTGTCTCAACCGGCCGCTCTACGGGCTCAAGCAAGCTCCGCGGGCGTGGTTCTCGCAGTTCACTTCGTACCTCTACACCCTCGACTTCCAGGGCTCCAAAGCAGACTCCTCCCTATTTTTGCTTCATCACGGTGCTGCCACGACTTACCTGCTTCTCTACGTAGATGATATTATCCTCATCGCCAGCACACCCGCCTTCCTCCAGTCCATCATCGCCTCTCTCCACCGTGAGTTCTCTATGACAGATATGGGCTCTCTCCACCATTTCCTTGGCATAAACGTCCACCACACATCCAGCGGTCTCCATCTCTCCCAGGAGCAGTATGCGCTCGAGCTCTTAGATCACGCCGGCATGCTTAACTGCAAACCTGTTTCCACCCCCGTCGACACCACATCCAAACTCTCCGCCACCGATGAACCCGCATTCCACTATCCATCGCCGTATCGTAGTCTCGCCGGTGCCCCTAGTATCTTACTCTCACTCGGCCGGATCTGTCTTATGCCATGCAGCAGTGTTGTTTGTTTATGCATGATCCCAGGGACGCTCATTATCAGATGGTGAAGAGGATCCTTTGTTATGTTCGAGGGACAACTCATCTCGGCTTACACTTCTTCCGCTCCGCCTCCACCGACCTGACCGCCTACTCGGAAGCGGACTGGGAAGGGTGCCCGGGCACCCGCAAGTCTACGTCCGGCTTTGCGGTGTACCTCGGCTCCAACCTCGTCAGCTGGTCCTCGAAGCGCCAGACCACTGTCTCCCGCTCGAGCGCGGAGGCTGAGTACAGGGGCATCGCCAGCGCCGTCGCCGAGGCATCTTGGCTCCGTCAGCTCCTCGCCGAACTTCGCTGCCCGCCGTCGCGCGCCACCGTCGTCTACTGCGACAACACCCCCACCATGTACATGTCGAGCAATCCCATTCAGCACCAGCAGACGAAGCACAACGAGATCGACCTCCACTTCGTGCGAGAGCGCGTCTCTCTCGGCGAGGTGCGTGTCCTGCATGTGCCGACCACGTCGCAGTTCACCATTGTCTTCACCAAGGGGCTACCTACGAGCGTGTTTGTCGACTTTCGCTCTGGCCTCAACGTTGGCGAGCACCACGCTTCCGCTGTGG